CTCGGGTCCCGTCTCTCGGGCTCTCGGGTCTCGGGCCCTCGGGTCCCGGGTCTCGGGCTCTCGGGTCTCGGGCGTCGGGCCCTCGGGTCTCGGGCCCTTGGGTCCCGTCTCTCGGGCTCTCGGGTCTCGGGCCCTCGGGTCCCGGGTCTTGGGCCTCGGGCCGGGACGAGCACCAGAGGTCGTGACAGCGGGATCGCGCACAGCAGCAGCGGACCTCGGCTGTCACCGCGTCGCAGCCTCTGTGTACGCGCTTCAGTTGTCTAATTCAACCGATTCAGTCATTGAACCCCCCCACTGAGAGAGACATGATCCCAGCAGGCTATGTGACGGAACTCGTGACCGTTTCCACTCCTTTTTCCCGAGTTCTGAACATCTGGGCGCCTGGGGCCATCAGATTTGACGGATTAATTCAGTGACGAGTTTCGCCTCTGAGGACTTTTAGAAACAACAACGATACGACAAGACCTGAGAGTGACAACGACACGCCTGCTCTCCAGAGCGCTAGGCACACGGCAGCCAGGCGGTCCAGCACCGGGCCGGCCGCTCAGGCCCCGCCCCCGCCCCCGCCCCCAGCCGCGCCCCCGCCGGGAGTAGGCACCGCTTCCTCCAGCCGGCCGCAGAAGAAACTTCGCTCGTGCCTCTCGCGGGACCGAGGCCTCTGGCAAGATTTTGAGAACACAGGGAGCGCAGTGTCTCGCGAGACGTTGAACAGGAAACGTGAGGGATGAAAGCTGCTTCCGGCGGAACTCGGAAGCCCGTCTGTTTTGGTTCCTGGAGCTTTCGGTGCCGCGTGGTGTGCAACTCGCGTCTGGCGTGTCCCAGCGGGATGGTGTTGACCCGAGTGAGGACCGGGCCCCGGGGGCGTCCTGACCGAGCCGGTTATCGTGCGCCGCCGGGGCGGCGGGAGGGGCGGGCAGTCGAGGTTCTGCGGTTCCTCCCGCGGACCCGCCGCGCCTCTGGAGGGCTTGGTGACCCGGCAGAGGGCGCGGAGACGCGGATGAGGGGGCGGGGACAGCGGCGCAGGGCGTCCGCGGGACACGGGGATTTTCTCTGAATAAGCTTGGTTCGGAGTAGTTTTACACTTGCGAGGAGTCCCAAGGTGCAGACTCCGTGTGCTTTCCACCCAGTTGCCGGGTGTGAGCCGGTTCCGCCGTGGACGCTGGCGGCCGCCCCGACCCGGCTCCGCCGTGGGCCGGGTCACCTCATAGGAGGGTCGTGACGCGGTCCGTCCGTGCCGGAGCCGCCCCGCGCGTGCACTGTCTGGACGTGTCCCCGTCGTGGGGGCCGCCGGGGCCCGGGTCATCTCTCGTAGGAGGGTCGTGACGCCGTCGGTCCGTGCCGGAGCCGCATGGGCACCGACTGGACGTGTCCCCGTCGTGGGGGCCGCCGCGTCAACCGCTGTTTCTCGCCCGCAGCTGCGAGCGGGGCCTGGGCGGAGCGTGGCGAAGCGCGTGTGCGGGGTCGTGCTGGACCATTTCGACGCACAGTACTTCCGGGAGCTCGGGGCCGCCTGGGCGGCCGCCAGGTCAGTGTGACCGGACCCGGGGCGGAGCGGGGGACGGGAGGGAGGACGGGAGACCCCTGGTGACGGGGCGCCTGCTCTCGGCCTTGGAACAGGAGTGCCCGCCGGTGTGACCGAGTTGGTTACACTGCAGCGGAAACGTTTGGAAGCAGACTTGGGAGGGTATCCGACCGGTGTCTGAGATTCGGAAGGTCACAGCAGAGTCTTACAGCCCAAAGTCATGCACTTGGTGCCCGCGTCCTTTCCCCGTGTGCGTGGCTGTGTTGTGGACACGGGCGTGCGCAAGCGCAGTCTCCAGACGCCTCGTGGGAGACGGACGTGGACGTGTGACGCGCAGGGAGGTCTGAGTGCCGAGTCTGCGGGGTCGGGAGTCCCCGAGTTCTCGCCTGCGGCGCCCCCGCGGCGTGGCCGCCCGTGGGTGTGGGTGGGCGTGCGCCCGGTTCCCCGGGGAGGCGCGGGGAGGCCCGGGGTGCCCGCAGAGACCCAGTCTCGGTGACAGGCGCTGCCCGGCGAGGGCGCAGGCGTGGAGGCTGCGATGAGAGTGCTCGTGGAGCTCGGGGCGTCGCGTGTCTGGAGACGGACGGTCGCTGGTTCGTCTCTGGTGGCAGCGCCGTGGGAGTTTCTTCTTGACAAGGCACAACTGGAGCGTTTTCTACAAAGGCATTAAGTCTTTACAGATAAAGATAGTCAAGTCCGAGGTGGTGGTTCTGAGATAACTTTAGGACAAATTAAGCTGTCTTAAACACTTGTAAATATCGTAATATGAAGTTTATAGTTGTATTTATTTTTCAACTGGACTTGCAAATGGTGTTTCCTGTCATAGAGGAAAGGAGAGAGAGAGGAGTGACGTGCGGCGGACGCGGGAGGTCTCAGGGTGCGCATGGCCGCCCCTGGGCCCCGGGCAGCCATGGGCTCGCCTGCGCTTCAGGAGGTGGCCCGGGGACTGCAGCCCGCTCCCTCTCGGGTTGGGGACCCCTGCCGACCGTCCCCCGGCCTCTCCGCGGTGCGGCCGGACGCGTGGACGGCGGAAGGAGGACGTCCCGAGGTGTCTTGTGCGCAGACTCGGTGGTCATCTGGCTGCTTGTGCCCGGGGGGAGTGAGTTCTCTGTTTACTGTGCTCAGACAGGCGTGTAAATTGTTATTGGACCCTAAACAGAGTGAGTCGTGATCTCAAGGCCATTCACTTAGCTGTGCGTTCTGCTTCATCTACCGTTTGTTGGGTTTTCATTGTTGTTTGTTTTGCATAAACGTGCTAAATTAGCCATAGGCAAAAGAAAGGCTTTCTCAGCATAGAAAGTAGTCTGAGCATGGAAGATGGTGTGCAGAAATAAGAACAGAAATATTTTTGTTTTTTAGCTGTTTATTTGCGAGATGTCGTGCTTGCAGAGTATCTTCTCTCAGGGAAAGGCGAGTGCAGCTTTGTTCTTGCTGGAAAGGAGTTTACTGAGTGGTGTTAGTTCCCTGTGTAGTGGGGAGGGTTTAGATTTGCTTTAGTTGAGCTGGTTTGTGACAGCCCTTCCTGCGCTCCCCCCGGAGCGTCCCTGTCAAGTTGGCTCTGCCCTGTCTTGGGTGCGCCCACGCGGTGTGCTGCCTCGCTCGCTGCTCTCGGGCGTGCGGTACCCCCCAAGCTTTGGTCCTGTGTTTCCCGGTGTTTTTTGGAAGCTTCACTTCGCTTCCTGCTCGCCAACTTAAAAGCATATTCCTGCTTTTCCTTGCAAGCCTGTGTTGCCGTTTGCTGCTTCATCTCAGATGAAGGCGCCCGTCCGTCCTCTCTCCTCTTGTTACACCTCCCCCGCCTTTGTAGTGAAGAAGCAGCCTTGCTCAGATCAGGTCTGGCCTGTGCCCTCAGCTCCTTGGGTGTCCTGCCTGAGAGTGTCTCTGTTCGCCGAGGGGCTTGGGCCGCAGGGGAACGTGCTTTGTGGTGGGGGCTGTGGGCCACCGCATCAGCTCGACCTCCGACCTCCGGAGGGGGTGGAGACTAGAGTTCAGCCACATGGGCAGCCGTCGCGTGACTGAGCCCGGTAGAGTCCAGACCCCAGGCTCTGGCGCTCCTCCCTGGCCGGCAGTGCCCCGAGCATCGCAGTGGCTGCAGGGAGGAGTTACCCACGTCCGGGATTCCCCTGGAGGGGACCGGGTGCTCCGGGCCTCGAACATTCCTGCACTCTCGGCCACACGTCTTTCCCTTTGACCGATGTTAGCCTGTGTCTTTTCCCTGTAATAATAAACTGTAACTGTAACCAGGAGTGTGGTGGTGAGTTTTGTGTGTCCTGCTAGTTACTAACCAAACCTGAGAGTATTCTGGGGGACCGGAACGTAGAGTTGGTGTCAGAAGGGAGAGTGGTCCTGGGGACTCCCAACTGTGTCCTGCTCCACACTGCTACCCTGCCCCCCTCAAAATCGAGGTGCCCTCCAAATGCTGTGGCCTCTTCCTGCGACGTTTCTTAATTTGGATCTCCTTATCCCCACTGTTACTATTTAGTTAGGCTTTTATTGTTGTTTACTTGGCATATTGCAGCAGTCTCCCACCTTTAGTATTTATTTGTTTGCTTATTTTTAGCAGCCGCTCTTATGGCACTATATGCCAGGCAATGTTCTAATTATTTTATAAATAATAACATAGTCCTTTGTACAGTCCTCTGAGGTATTCTTATTCCATTTTACAGATAGGAAGGCTGAGGCATACGGAGGTGAAGTAACTTGCCCAGTGATGCCCAGCTCACATGGAGGAGCCTGGGGAGTTTGTTGTAGCCACTCTGTCCTACTGCCACGTTCCGTGTGTCCTCCTGGAGGACAAGCCTCCTTTGCTTCCCACCATCTGCAGTGTCGTGGCTATGCAGGCTCCTTCGTCCCTCTGGGGCTGGCCCTCTCCTGCTCCCTCTGTAAGTGGTGCGAGTGTGGGTTCAGATCCCCCTGCATCTTGCAGTGTGCCTAGGTAAGTGCCTCGCTGTCCCCATCTGTAAAAGGGGAAAATAGTACCTATTTCATAAAATCATTTGGGAAGATGAAAGAAATTTATATATATTCAAAGTGCTTAGAATATTGTTGGACAAACAGTAATTCCTCGATACATGTTCACTGATATTAGCGAGTTCTCTGTCCTGCTGTCCCATGTACCTTTGGCAAAATTAGTTCTGCTCTTTGTGTTTCCGTTGCGTTTTGTTGATACAGCTGTTGTAATTCTTTCAAGGTTGTATCGTCATTGTTTACTAAGTTGCTGTCTCTTCCTTGACAGGGGAGGGTCTTGAAGGACCCATACCTTAAGACTTGGCCAGGGGCGGGCCCCGTGGCTTTAGGGGTTAAGTGCGTGTGCTCTGCTACTGGTGGCCCGGGTTGGGATCCCGGGCCTGCACCGATGCACCGCTTGTCCTGCCATGCTGAGGCGGTGTCCCACGTACAGCAACTAGAAGGATGTGCAACTATGACATACAACTGTCTACTGGGGGTAGAAAAAGGGGGAAAAAAGAAAGGAGGAGGATTGGCGATAGGTATTAGCTTAGTACCGGTCTTCCTCAGCAAAAAGCGGAGGATTAGCATGGATGTTAGCTCAGGGCTGATCTTCCTCACCAAAAAAAAAAAAAAAAAAAAGACTTGGCCAAGTCATCTACTTATTTGCACTTGAGGCAGTGTTTATATACCAGGCACTGTGCAAAGCCCTGGGGATACAGAGATGGATTCTTATATTCTGTCCTCAAATATATAAGGGGAGGATTAATTGGAAATCTTTATGAACTTGGAAAATTTTGTGTGCACTTTGTAGAAAGAAAAAAAAAGCCCCAGTTAAGTCTGGCCTGTGTGTCTATGTTTTTATTAGGACAGTCTTGTCACTAATGTAGAGTTCACATAGTTCACTGTAGAGGGAAGAAATACTACATCACCAGATTTCATTCCCAACCTCTGTGAAGGGGCGGAGTGGGCTGGGGTTGGGAAAAAGCAGAAGTGAACTGGAATTTAGATTTCGATTTTGTCGTTTATGTTGGCTTTACACACATTTTAACCTTAATCTGTGCAAATCCCTGTGAAGTAGTAGCTTTTGGCCCCTTTTAAACTCAGAGGTCAGGAAGATTGCCCAGAGTCTTGGTTTAGGACTGGTGTCTTGACCTTTTTCCTCCAGCTCTGAGCTGCTGCCAGGCTCTGGAGGCTGGGCCTAGGGGGCATGCCCCCCGCTCCTGGTGGGAGGGCCCACTGTGTGCAGTATTCTCAGCCTTTACCAGAAGCACGAACTTTCAATCCCTGTCTGAGGCCCTATGGATAACAGATATGGACACAGATTGCCCATGGGAGACAAGCAGGAAACAGTGCCGAGGAAGAGTAGGAGGCCGTCAGCTCACTGTTAGAATCTCTGAAGAATCACAATAAAATGGCTCGAACACATCGCCTGAAGCACTTCCATGAATTGATTTATTCTGTTTCTAAACCAGACGTTCACAATGATTGAATGAGCGCCCTCTAGGGGGTAATAATAGCAGTAAAACAAAAAAGAGTTCTGGTGTTTTGACTGTGAAAATTTAATTGGTTTTGTCGTCTTCAGGGTTATGCCAGTTGTAAGTAAGTAAGAAAAGTAAATAGTAAGAAAAGAACAGAATCACAGAAAAGTTGAATAAAAATCGTATCAAATAACATTGTCCAAATAATACCTTATGCAGTTTTTGGGGGATGTGCGGGCACAGGCAAGCTGCAGCAGTCAGCTTCCAGGTGCTCAGCTTCACGTAGCCGCCTTTAGGAAATGGCTCTGCTCCCCTTGTGCTCTCCCAGCCTGCCCTCCCGTGATCATCTTTCTGTGGTTTACGCAGAGGGCGCGCTTTCACCCTCCAGACCTTTCACCTGCCTCCAGGGTGTCGGAGCCTCCACAGGCCGGAGGCTACTGGGGTGTCACTGTGAGGGCCTAGAGAGTAGACGACCAGCGACTGCCGGGTTCTGTGACAGGTCGGAGGGTTTCCAGAGTTTGTTGCAGCAAAAGTAAAGGAGCTCCACCTGAGTTGTCAGTTAACAGATGCTTTAGGATATTTTTGAAAATAGGTCATTAAGTGATTTGGGAATAGAACTCAGAAAGAATTCTTTAAAGAGGGAGACATTGCTGTAACAAAATGTATTGAATTCTCATCCACTTATTTAAGTGAAGGTGTATCTCAGCCCTTATAAAAACATAAAGTAGGAATAAAATTGACGTCACACCCTGACTCATTATAGCACCAGGTAATATCCATCCCATTCATTCAGATGAAGAAAAAGCTCATTTCATTGAGATCCATTTCTTATCAGTTTTTCCTTTTCATGTTTAATGATTATCAAATCTATACTGTTACTTTGATCAATTTTGTGCTAATAATTTTATTGATAACTGAATGTAGAAGTTACCATTTTAACACTTAGACATATAAGGCCACAGTGAAAACAGATTTAGTATGTGCACACGTGTGATTGTGTGGCAGAGAAGTGTGATGCGGTAATAAAAAGACTTCAAGCACAAAGGTATATTAGGATAAAGTTATGTGGGGCATAGATCGTAGATAAGAGGGCGAGAAACAGTGCATTTCCCACCTCTTCGAGAAGAGTTAGTCCATGAGTCTAAATGGACAGTGATGGGTTTCAAAATCACTCTGGTATTTAGGTTCCACCAGATACATTTCAAAAAGTGGTATAATTTATATTTTAAAATGTCAGTTTTTACAGTATGCTGGAAATTACATCCTTAAACATACGGCGATGATTTTGATGTCAACTTAAAATGTGCCAGAGGGTATACAGTTTTTTTGAAATGGTGTCAGTGGATGTGCTAGCCACGCATATGTGGGTCGCTGGCCTTGCGGGTCCCAGTTCTGCTGGCCGCTGGTGTCCTCGAGCTGGCCTCGGAGGCCCAAGTGGAGCAGCTTCAGACTCCTCGTGCATCAGGAGGGGCCCTCCAGGTGGCTCCTGCCAGTATCTTCTTGAGTCTTCTGAGTACACTTCCTCTCCTGTCTGCTGGGCTGCTTGCCCGTCCATCAGAGCTTTGGACTTGAGTGGCCTCTGGCCTGCCAGGCCCAGGGCATCATCCCACCAGGGCAAGCCCTGGAGATTGTGTGTGTGTGTGTGTGTGGGTGGGGGGTGCTTAGCTGAGACCCATGTGAATACACAGCTTTGCTTTCTCAGGGCTGGGAAGCACCTGAACAGCCTTAGCAGTCCCTTCATTGAGTTGGTCCTGTGGCAGCGGGTCCTCAGGGCAGAGTGTGTCAAGCTAGTCCCTTTGTTAGAGTCATCATTAGAGTAGGGCTTCTTCAGGGAGCCCAGGGCCACTGGCACTAGGTGAGGGTGAGGGTGGGGGTGGAAATTCTCTCCGCTTCAGGTTGTATACCACTAGTGCTGCAGTAACAGGGTCCCACACTCCTGTTGGACCCTAGAGCCAGCTGGATCTTGAATCAGGAACTTCTGTTTAATAGTGATGTGACTTTGGTAAGTTGCCAAATCTCCAAAAGTCTGTTACTTAACCTCTCAAGTAGGGGTAATAGCTGCCCCTCACGCTGGTTGTGATGGTTAAATGAGGTAAGCATAGAAAGTGCGTGTGGTAAACACCCGATCAGTAATTACTATTATTATTATTATTATCAGGATGAGGCGGAGTGGGGGATTGGGTGGTGGATGGAAAGGCTTCCCTGGGAGATAAAGCCTAAACCACCCCCTAAGCAGAGAGAGGCGAGTTGCCCTGAGACAGATGATGGAGGAGGAGAGGGGCACTTCCTGCGGAGACTGGTGAAGGCTGAGGAGAGCTTGTTCCAGGAAATGCACGTAGTTCACTGGGGCTGGGTGTAGATTAGGAGGCATGAGGAAATTTATGTTCTGAGCAAGACCTTCTTTTATCTAGTTGTTAAAGAATGAGAGAGACTGATTTCTGAAGATTCCTTCCTCGTTCTGCTGTAAGTGCATGTTTTTAAATAATGAGGCTCTCCCCCTAGAGTCTTTCAGTGCCTTCCCACCACTTAAGAGATTAAATTTAAAACTTTGTCATATTGTGCTCGACGCTTGTAATCTGCCGCCAGCCACAGCAGACTGCTTTAATTCCCCACGGCGCTGTCCCTTCTCACCCTCTGCCTCCGCCTGGAGCTTCCTTCCTCATGGCCCCTCTGGCTAATTCCTCATCCTTCGAGATTTAACACATTGGGTAAACACAGAAATAAGTGGTGTTTCTAAACTAACAGTCTCTATACAGTAAGGTCAGAAGGAAATGTGTAAGATGAATGACCCTTACTAAGGGCTGTGAAAGGGAGCGTGAACGCATGGAGAAGTGCATTGTGTCAGGGTTGGACAGATGGAGTACAGTAAGGATGCCAATTCTCCCCACATTTAGTACAACCCTAGTCAAGGTTACTATCTATCTACACAAATACTTTATAAATTATTTTTAACTGACCAGCTGATTCTCAAGTTCATCTGAAAGAATGCACATTCTACAATAGCTTTGGAAATTCTGAAGGAAAAAAAAAGAGAAGAATGGAGATTTTCTCTGTCAGATATTAACTAGTCGAAAGTGTCCCACCCTTTGTTAGCTAAGGGGTGGACACGTGGTGGAAGCCAGGCTGCTTCATCCTGTATTAATTGCGTTATGTTTCTGACCATTATTTCTCTGTTACTACATGAGTCAAAACCCTGGATAGATTTTCATCCAGTTTGGAGGGTAAGATTGGGAGGGATGGACGTAAGATTCACAACAGTGGCACTCACAGATTTCCCTTTGGGGTCTGTTTGACTGCTGTGGGTCCCAAAGTGTAGTCCTGGGACCACAGCATCAGTATCAGCCGAGAACGTGCTGGAAATGCAAGTTCTCAGGCCCCGCCTCAGACCTACTGAATCAGAAACGGCTGGAGTAGGCCCAGCAGTCTTACAGACGCTTGAGACGCAGGAAAGTCTGCCAAGCACACTCTTGAAGAAAGAGGCTGTCATCCTGGCTCCAGAAGAGCGGAAGCGGATACCCTGGGCTCCTGTGACGCGCCATCACAGGCAGAGGCAGTGACGGGAGGAAGCGGTGGCGCGTGTGCACCCTGGCGGAGGGTCACACGGCACCCTTGGACTCGTGGATGTCACACTCAACCCAGCGCCCTCACACAGGCAGCTCCAGGGGAGCAGCGGCTGGAGTTTGTATGATGGACCGTGGTTAGTGGGGCTGCTGGATAACTCGGGTGGAAATGTCGGCTCGTAAATAAATGAAGTGTTTCCTGCTGTATCATCCGTCGGTGATGTGAGCTTGTGTTTGTCAGGAGATCTAACTGGTGGACCAAGTAAAGAGTCCGGAGGGTCGGTCTGGTCTGCCAGGGGTGGGGAGCCTGCACCATCCGTCCGTAAGTAATTGTGAACCATCCTCGGCCTCGTGTCTTCTGAGCCGCTGATCGCCCCCTTACTCTGCTACTGTAGGTTCCCTGTCGTCAGCTCCCATACTTTGATCTTCATGAGAGGAAGCTTGAACACGCACTCCTTTAAACACCTTTAATGAGAGTACTTTCCCCTCCAATATTAGTAGTCTCAGGTTTTAAATTTTAAATTTGTCTCTAAGAAAAACACTTCTCTGTGTGAAGCGTGATAGACTGAAATCTACTCTGATGGATTTAGAGGTGTGTGGAGGTAGGCCTTTTTTTTTGGCAAGATATTCTGCAGGGAGAGCCTAGGTGAGGCAAATGGGGCATCCTTTCCAGTGCAGCATTTAAGTGGCCCCTGAAACTTGGTAATCAAGATAAATAATATTTATAATATTTTAATGGCCACAATTGATACAAAAGAAGAATCCCACAATGAACAAAATATCAAAGTTTTTGATAAAGACAGGATCATGACAGTGCTAGGCTGAGCTATATTGGAGCCTGAGGCAAAAGGAAAACTCAGTGATGTGACCCTGGCCCTGGAAGTCAGAGGTGAGTGAAGTGTAAAACTAGGACCACATCCATTCCATGAGGGTACACAGTTCATTGGTGTGTGTGGTGTTAATATTCCTGTGTTGTGTGTCTAGGGATGTACTAACATCTCCATCGTGCTGGACCACATCCACTCCATGAGGATATACAATTGCATCGGTGTGTGTGGTATTAATATTCCTTTGTTCTGTTTCTCTGTCTAGGGATGTACTGACATCTCCATCGTGCTGGCAATATGCTGTCCTTCTTAACCGATTCAATTATCCTTTTGACCTGGAAGAGGACTTACATTTGAAGGGCTATCGCACCATCCTCCAAAGATCTTTACCCCACTGTCCTGAATCCTTGAAGTGTTACCTCAGCAGCACTCCGGGCAGGATGCCTTCAGAAAGACACCAAGTTGGAAACCTAAAGAAATACTACCTCCTGAATGCTGCGTCTCTTCTCCCAGTACTGGCTCTGGAACCAAGGGATGGAGAGAAGGTTCTGGATCTGTGTGCTGCTCCCGGAGGCAAGTTGATTGCCCTGCTGCAGTGTGCGTACCCAGGTAGTGTGCTTTCCTTCAGTAATCCACAGTGTTACAAATGCTTTTCAAGTATGCAGGAGAGAAATGTGAGGTTGAGTTTGCAGACTCTGAAAGCCTGGAAACCACGACAGTGTGGAGAAGGATGGAAGTTCTAGCTGAAGCAATCAGTGTAAATAACCTTTTTTTCAGCTACTTAATTCTAGCAGGTAGTTGGGAAGAAAACTGCAACATTTTGTGAACACAAATCTGTCAGATAATATGAATCCTAATAAGCCAGTGACAGATTTTCTAATTTTATTGTTACTTTTGCACTTGAGAGTCTTGTGTTGATATCCTCGTGATACTTTGCAACAAAAACATATACATATAACATCATTTTTTGTATCGATGGACCATAAGATTGTAGGGCAGTTCTGTCCAATACAAATATAATGTGAAGTACATATATAATTTTTGTGAAGTACGTATATAATTTAAAATTTTTGAGTAGTCTCAAAAAAAATAGAGGTGAAATTAATTTTAATAATACATTATAACCCCATAATCCAAAATATTATTTCAACATGTAATCAAAATAAAAATTATTAATGAGATATTTTGCAGTCTCTTGTTCTTACCAAATTTTCAAAATTGGTGTGTATTTTATGCTTACAGCACATTTCAGTTTGGAGCTCATAGCCACATGTCGCAAGTGGATATAGTATTGGACAGTGCACTTCTAAAAGATTTAAAAAGTTCTTCTGAAGTGACTTATCGTTATCATTATTATTAGTACAACGTGCATTTTTATAAGTATTTGTTAAGGGTCATGAGTCTCAACATTCATTTTGAATTTTTTTTTTTTTTGTGAGGGAAATCAGCCCTGAGCTAACGTCCATGCCAATCCTCTTTTTGCTGAGGAAGACTGGCCCTGAGCTAACATCCGTGCCCATCTTCCTCCACTTTATGTGGGATGCCGCCACAGTGTGGTCTGACAAGCGGTGCGTCAGTGCGCGCCAGGGATCCAAACCTGGGCTGCCAGCAGCGGAGTGCGCGCACTTAAATGCTTCGCCATGGGACTGGCCTCGAATTATTTTCTTAATGAGACTGTGGGACTTTTTTAAATTACTTCGAGTTTCCCTGGATGAATATGACTCATGGCTCCGTGAGACAGGGGTCAGCATCGGTTCTGTCTGAGTTTATCTCTTTGGTGGTTTTGTTTTCATAAATACAAATGCTGTTGTTCACATAGATAAGAAGATGGAAATGGTGAGAACTGTGTTAGGGTAGTTTCACTAGTTCTCTAAACTCCTCACTTCCACACCGAATCCCGTAGATGTCCTTCCTCAAGCGTCGCCGTAACGATCACTGGGTGAGCGCTCTTTGGGCCCAGTTTTGGTTTTGTGAAAGGCGGAGGACTGGACACCATCTCAGTTACAAAGGCCCCGTGTCCTAGTTGTTAGGCTTGTCCACTTTCTCAGCCTCGGCACCGATGTGTGGACCTGCCCTGTTGGGTGCGTTGGAGGTTTCTGCACCTCGGCTCAGTTTGCTGTGACGAGCTTCTGGACGGGGGAAGCGTTCTCCCTGTTTGTAAAGTTGGGGAAGGGCCATTGTGAAAGGCGACACCCTGTGACCCCCTGACCAGAGCTGTCCTTGGGAAGTTGATGACCTGAAATTGATTCTTCTGGGACTGTCCACACCGGCTTCTACCTTAGAAAGTTGTTACGTGTCCCCGGGGCATGCACATCCCAGTCTGAAGACTGCTAACGTGTGTCTTTCTTTGAGAGCATTGCCTGTTGAAATAGATTACAAAAACTTCCACAAGGACTGTGAGTCCGGTTGTCTAGGCCTTGGTGCAAATGTATCATTAATTGTGTATTCAGGAGAAAACATATTGTGTGTCTAGAATTGTGGTTAAAATTCTGTTGTTGAAGCTTGCTGTGCTTTTTATGTAGGAAATCACAAAAAAAGAGATTATTTTTTAAGGTTATTATTTGTATAATTTGAGCTGAAGTTTTGTGGAATTGCGTTATCAGGAGTATTTTTACTTTCACTCTTTCTTTGTTCTTTTACAGTGTTCTTGTTTTGGCTGCTACATCAATTTTAAAAATAGAATTTTTAGTATTGTAAAAGATAAAAATGTCAAATTTGGGCACCATTTTGAAGAGAGGGCATTTTAATTCTAAATTATCCTCATTGGTAGACTATAAATATTTTACATGCTTATGGTAGGAAAGGCGATTGGATTAGGAATCTGAAGGCATACTGATGTACTCTAGGAGTTTGAGGTGGAGAAGAATCTTCTTGTTATTACATCAAGGGCAATGAACTAAGGCAGGATTCCAAGTAAAGAAGCTTTTCACCCACGTAGGACTAATGATGATACTTTACTGAGAAGTACGGATGTCTTAGGTTAGTTACAGTGCTTGAATTTGGAATGCAGAAGCAATGCTAAGAAAAGCCTGTATAAGCAAAACTTAAAATAGTGGCTGCACCACATGTGCCGTTTATACACCAAATTTCTTTAGATCAGTTCTGCCCTTTATTCTGGGCCAAGAGGCTTACAGCTTTAAATGATTAAAAAGCTCTTATTTTAGGATGATTAAAAACATTAGTCTACTTCTCTTTTGGTCCACCTGTTAGCACAGTGATGGATTGTCTGTCATTTTTTTGTTTTATTTTTGTCAACACAGCCGTTGTAATGTCCTGGTCTTGTCCTGGTCTCGAAAAAGAGCCAACAATGCTGATTCTAGATGAGAAAGATTAACGTACTAAGAATGACCCAGCGTGGTGGAGTGGCTTGATCAGCTTTCTTTTTTTAATATGTTTCAGGTGTATAACGTTATAATTTGACATTTCTGTACTCTACAAAGTGCTCACCCCTGTAAGTCTAGTTACCATCCATCACCCTACAGTTGACCCTCTTCATGACTTCCGCCTACCCCCAACCCCCCTTGCCTCTGGTAACCACCAAGCTGTTCTCTATATATGTGAGTTTGATTTTCTTTTGTTTTGTTTGTTTGTTTTTTAGATTCCACGTGAGTGAAATTGTATGGTATTTGTGTTTCTCTGACTTATTTCACTTAGCATGATACCCTCAAGATTCATCTATGCTGTTGCAAATGGCAAGAATTAATTCTTTTTCATGGCTGAGTAATACTCCATTGTGTGTATATGTATGTATGTACCACATCTTCTTTATCCATTCATCCATTGATGGACACTTAGGTTTTTTCCATATCTTGGCTATTGCAAATAATGCTGCAGTGAATATAGGGGTGCATATATCTTTTCGAATTAGTGTTTTCGTGTTCTTTGGATAAATACCCAGAAGTGGAATAGCTAGATCATATGGTAATTCTTTTTTGATTTTTTGAGAAGCCTCCATACTGTTTTCTGTAGTGGCTACACCAATTTACATTTCTACCAACAGTGCACAAGGGTTCCTTTTTCTTCACGTCTTCGCCAACACTTGTTGTCTTTTTGATAACAGCTGTTCTGACAGGTGTGAGGTTATATCTCCTTGTGGTTTTGATTTGCATTTCCCTGATTAGTGATGTTAGCTGTCTTTTCATGTACCTGTTGGCCATTTGTATGTCTTCTTTGAAAAAATGTCTATTTGGGTCTTCTGCCCTTTCTTTTTTTTTGGTGAGGAAGATTGGCCCTGAGCTAACATCTGTTGCCAATCTTCCTCTTTTTGCTTGAGGAAGATTGTTGCTGAGCTAACATCTGTGCCAGTCTTCCTCTACTTTATATATGGGACACCACCGCAGCATGGCTTGATGAGCAGTGCGTAGGTCTGTGCCTGGGATCCGAACCCACGAACCCCCGGCCTCCGAAGCGGAGCACACGAACTTGACGCCACTGGGCTGGCCCCTCTCTGCCTATTTTTTCATTGAGCTGTTTGTTTTTTGTTGTTTAGTGATAGGAGTTCTTTATATATTTTGGATGTATGATTTACAAGTATCTTCTCCTAGTCCACAGGTTGCCCTTTCATTTTGTTGATGGTTTCCTTTACTGAGCAGAAGCTTTTTAGTTTGATGTAGTCCCACTTGTTTATTTTTGCTTTTGTTTCCCTCGTCTTTGGAGTCAGATCCACAAAAACATCGTAAGACTGATGTCAGGGAGCTTATTGCCTATGTTTTCTTCTAAAAGTTTCACGGTTCAGGTCTTACATTCAAGTCTAATCCATGTTGAGTTAATTTTTGTATATGGTGTAAGATAGGGGTCCAGTTTCATTTTTTTTGCATGTGGCTGTCCAGTTTTCCCAACACTATTTTTTTTTTTTGTGAGGAGGATGGGCCCTGAGCTAACATCTGCCAATATTCCTCTTTTTTGCTGAGGAACACTGGCCCTGGGCTAACATCCGTGCCCACCTTCTTCCACTTTATATGGGACGCAGCCACAGCATGGCTTGACAAGTGTGGTGCATCGTTGCGCGCCCAGGATCCGAACTGGCGAAGCCTGGGCCACGGAAGTGGAGCGCACGCACTTAACCGCTTGTGCCACCGGTCCGGCCCCCCAACACTGTTTATTGAAGAGACTTTCCTTTTTCCATTGTATGTTCTTGGCTCCTTTGTCATAAATTAATTGTCCATAGATGTGTGGGTTTATTTCTGGGCGCTCAATTCTGTTCCATTGATTTGTGTGTCTGTTTTTGTGCCAGTACTGTGCTGTTTTGATTACTGTAGATTTGTAGTAGTGTTTCAAATCTGGGAGTGTGATGCCTCCAGTTCTGTTCTTCTTTCTCAAGATTGCTTTGGCTATTCAGGATCTTTTGTGGTTCCACACACATTTTATTTATTTATTTGTTATTTTTTTTGTGTGTGTGAGGAAGATCAGCCCTGAGCTAACATCCATGCTAATCCTCCTCTTTTTGCTGAGGAAGACCGGCTCTGAGCTAACATCTATTGCAAAGCCTCCCCCTCTTTTTCTTCCCCAAAGCCCCAGTAGATAGTTGTATGTCATAGTTGAACATTCTTCTAGTTGCTGTATGTGGGATGCGGCCTCAGCATGGCAGGAGAAGCGGTGCATCGGTGTGC